CTTCCAAACTGGGGAGGAATTGCACAGTTAGTGCCGCGGGATTAATCTTTACAATCAACAGTGAAAGTTGGTGTCCCGGTCATTTCTGTTTGTACCTGCTTTGGGGAACCCAGATTTCATTTATTTTCTTATGTGCTTCTTTTTTCAGATATAACTTTAAACGTGTTAAGTTCATACCTTAGGAAACAGACAGTTTCCTAGGTTATGAAAGTTCCTAAGGTTTTCCTCTTTGGCAAGGGAGTCGGCGTCTTCGTTCCCTGAATGTGCTTTCACCCAAACAAGCGAAATTTTAATTTGGTTATTTTCGTGGTGAAAATGAAAGATTTCTTGAGCTACTGGAGAAGGATGTCTGATCTGCTATTGCATGCAGCGAAGAACTATAATTTGTTTAGATTGTGAGCTGACTGCTATTGCATATATTTATTATTAATTGCAATTTCTGTTGCTTTTTAACTGCTAAAATTTTCGCTTGAAAAATTATTTCTGGGCACAGGCGTCCTTTCAGATTTTTGGCACTATGGAAAATACAGGCTCATCCCACTTTTTCATCTGTTTTTGATCCATATAAATAATATTCGATACGTACTGATATTTATAGCCTCATTGTGAAATATTATCGCTTTGGACTTTCCCTCTGAAACTTTTTTTTTCCCCTTATATAGTCGATTGAAGATTACGAAAGTATGGATGTTATCTTTGAGTTGTTGTGCCATAGATGATGAATGCGTGGGGATGCCATGACTCTTGTGTGATTTGGCCATTGATATTATATAAAAGAGTTAAAGGTAAAAATTCAGAGATCCGTGCTCAAACAGGATCCTCGCGTACACTCTCTTATATGGTGCTTTTCTACTGTTCGATTAGTATGGGTGACGCTCTTCTTGTTGTGTAGATAATTTTGAGATATAATAAAGATATTTCTTGGGATGTTCATTTGTCTGAGAGATTGAAGAACGGCAAGCCACTAGAATGCCTTTTTTAAATCAAGACAAAGCACAGCAGAATGGAGATTTTATGATTCAATATCCTCAAGATTTCGTCTGCAGCATGAGTTGCAAGACGATTTGCCATACTGATTCTTGCTGATTATCTGAAATTTAAGAAAGCGACGGACGCCTTATTCTTCCGGAAGTTGCTTTTTGCAGAACTTTTTCAATTGCTGGAAGGAGGCTGATAAGTCTGTATGAATACTGAATCTGTAGGATTTTGGCCCTTTTGGAGAAAAGGATAATATATCCTGCCTTGAAAACATTGGGGAAGACACGTAGTTAAGACATTTATTGAATAAATCTGTCAGTTGAGACTTAAATTAATTTCGTGATTTTAATTTTTACCCCGTCTGGTCCTGGTGCTTCTTTATTTGAAAGGGCTTTGATGACAATGTGTATTACTTAAGTAGAAAAAATTTATAGTCTTCCTGAGAATTTGGAATGCGTTGATCTCGTCTGACAGCGGCTTGTTCTGACGTACCATCTTTCAGAAAATTCTTTTGTAAAATTAGAATCCATTTCTTTCAATGAGAATGATGTTTTGTCAGACTTACTTAAACATATACCATATTAAGTAATTTTTATTAATTTATACAATTTCATTTGTGGCTAAAACGGAAAAATTACCGGTGGCTATGCTCTGGTACCGTGTTCAACAGACAAAATATTGTGGCCGCATGTACGAGGGCATTTCGAAAAGTAAAGATACAATGGCTAGCATTCCTTAAAAAAAATTTTATTTAGGAAACGTCAGTTACATCTTATTAACGGATTATTTATTATTTTTCGACATAATCACCCCCCCCCGTTATCCAAACATTTGTTAAGTCGGTGCACAAGCTTTTGTATCCCACAGTCATAGAAGGTTGCCGCCTGGTGGAACCCTGCGCACACACAATTTCCTGTACCCTAACTTGACAGTCACAACTTCATAAAGAGTTGTCATTGACACTTCCGGTATGATCTGATGCAATTCTTTCGATTTGAGACGTCTATTCGCACGAATTGCTTCCTCTGTTCTCTGAAGAAGGGCATCAGAGATCACAGATGGCGACTTGTTCTTTGTTCGTCATGAACACGGTTCCCACCTTGAGAGAAATGACGACACCATTTCGCTACATTTGTCGATTATATGTTCCCATAACAGAAACAATTTCTTTGTGAATATCCGTGGTCCTCACCTTTTGCATGAAGAAAAACTTATGACGGAACGCACTTCGCATTTGGCGGGATTCGATCGGCGCAGCCATTTTAAATACGACTCTACCCAACCAGACCAACAACGTTGAAATGCCGAACGACCGCGAGGAGAAAGCCAACGGTTCAAGGTTAACACCTGTGTTGCCAACTTGCTCGCCAAAACTTTTCTTTTCCTCTGGCGTACGGTGTATCTTAACTTTTCGAAATGCCCTCGTGTGTTTTTCTGTTTTCCACATGCTTAAATATTCCTCTGAAGAATCATTCTCTTGTACAGATACAGGAAAGGTGGCTGTAGACGAATATTTTATTAAATACTGAATCTAAAAAATGTACTTTTAATTTCAAAATTTATCAAAATAAAGTAAGAAATTTTATAAAAATAATTTCAACACTATAGCTGGAAAGATTCTGTATATATATGAGAAAAATTAAAATTTTTATGTGCATCTCGCAAAACAAACATTCCAACTAATGTTATATTTATCATGTTTTAGTAAGTTAAATACAAAAAGATTTTATCCTTGCATTCATAATTCGCGAATTAATGAACGAAATCCTAACGATTTTTTAATCTTATTTCACACCAAAATATAAATTCTCTAAGCTAAATTTAAGAAGTCGCTACCAAAATAAATAAATTAGTCAAAATTTTCTTGTTTTCGGTATTTAATGTGTGAAAAATGTTCTATTGTGTGAAAAGTGTTCTTTATTAATGTGTGCATGGCATAAAAATATTATTTTCCCAATATCTGTAAATTTTGATCGTTAAACATATAGAACTTCAGACTTTAGCAGTGTTTTATTAAAGCATTTTAAATACTGCACCCCGTGCTATCTTAATAGCATTATGAGCTCTTTGTCTAATCAGAGTGCTGGGGGTCGCTAATACAACAAAGCTAAGAAATGAAATGTATATGGATTAATATGAGGCCCCGACCAAGTGCGCAATGCATCCTTACGTCAAGATGGCCCTGACTGCATTACAGTGGCTTATCTATATAAAATGGCGTCCGTGGCAAGAATTTAATTTGCGCCTCCATTAAAATATTTAAAATTATGTTTATCTCTTTTTAATTTGGTTTCAGGAGCATAATTTTTTTAATAAACGCTAAAATAGCGCACCCTGCTGGTGGTTCCATGGCACTTGCTCTGCTAGCCTACCCTAGATATCCCTCTACTGCACTAATTGGAAATATTTACACTACGGGGCTATATAAAAAGTTAAGTTTTCATGTCTACAGACGACACTGTACTGTTACTGCAACTACTTTACAAGGAAATTACTATTATACAGTGGAACCTCGAGATACGAGTTTAATTCGTTCCAACATCGAACTCGTATAGCGAATTTCTCGTATCTAGAAACTATTGAACTTCCCCATTGCAAATAAAGGAAATCAAGTTTATCTGTTCCGCACCCCCCAAAAATATCAACATAAAAATCAATTTTTATAATAAATAACACTGGTAAATAATATAACTGTAGTTAATCTTTATGATAGCTTCCGACACCGACCTTTTAACTGCGTCTCGTTAATCTACACCAAGAACAGCTTCTCAACATCTTCTATGAGTTTTGGACGGTGCTTGGAAGTAACGGTAACTACTTTGGCTACATCAAATTTCTTAAATTCTTCGGCTTCTTCAGAACACTGCAAATCGTCGATGTCGTAAATCTTCGCCAATTCCGTCACACCTACACCACGCTTGTTTATCTACGATTTCTTTCTTAATTTCAACGGCCATGGCTTTCTTATCTTTCCTTGCAGCACTCTCTGAGGCAACAGTAGTCTTGGGAGGCATCGTGAAATAATTATTTTCACTTTAAATGTAATGAACAATTGACTCACAAGCGCACAAACACGTAGCTCAAAGAACACCGAGTGATCTGACGAGGGGATTCCCCCAGTCGAGCTGGATCGGAAAATGGCCCCACGCATACTAACAGCCTGGCTCACTGCTCGTTACTCGAGTCAATGCTCTTATTTAGAGATAAATATTTCGCTCATACTTTTTTCGCATATGGAGGTGCTCGCATCTCGAGGTTCCACTGTACAAGGATAAAAATTCATGAAGATTATTATTCTACTCAAAGAAATTAAAGTCTTCGATTCTAGTCTACCGAATTCTTCTAGATTAGAATCTGAATGAAGGTGGACGAAGTCAGATTGTGACTGCATGCGGTGTACGTGATAATGTGATTGTGACATTCAGTCAGCAATGCCAGATGAGCATCGATGATGCGCGCCCATCCATGATCGTTTATGAGGCTTGTCCATGTGGTCTGTCCCTGTGATTCTTGAGATAAGAAATAACAGCATTAACACTGATATTTCTTATATGTATGTCTTAGAGAAAATGTCTTTTACTTTTGGCAAGGAATAATCTAGAATTAAATTAACCAACAAGTCGATTGCGAGTCACCAGTAGATTATAACATAGTTTATGAGTTGATCTCGAACTATCCGTGTGTTATATTATTAGAGAATTATTTAATGTTTTTCCTTACGGACTAGTGGATCATGAAGTCACCCGTAGAGGGGGATGGGGAATGTAGCTCAAGCTGATGAGTAGAATGAGGAGCTCTGATTAGAAAATGCATGTAGGTGATATTAGCAAAAAAGTGCATGTACATAAATTTAGTGTTAAACTGATGATACGCAATTTTTCCTCAAATTTAGCAGCTGACGAAATAGGCACGTTATGTGTTCTTTCGTGTGCTTAATCTCACTACTGTTTAAGCTCTCATTTATCTAATATAAAAGAACTGAAAATAATGTTTCTTAAAACTAATTGTATTCTTTGATTTAGGTTATAATGAAGCAAAAACTTCTTCAAGGCAGAAACTCGGAGACTACATCTCCATCAGCGGACGCCTACAGTCTGGACTCTCTTTCAATCAACGCTAGTTTTAGGAGAAGGAGAACGAGGAGGTCTGCTAGGTCATACTTAAATCATGCTTTTAACGATCAGGTTCGTTTAAATCTCAATATTCAGCCTTTTGTTGTGAGAAATAGCATACTATATTTCTTCAATAATCGAAAAAAAAAAAAAAAAAAAAAAAAAAAAACTGAAGCTAGGTAGTATTGAAAGTCTGGAAAATAATACAATAACTGGTTTTATTCTTAGGTTAATTCTTAACCCGGCTGTCTAATGTAGCGTCTCTAAAACGTTTTTGCTGTGATGGGATCTTTGAAGTAATTTGCAGCTATCGAAAAGCACCAACATATAAATTATCATAAATGTAATTGATAGTAATGTTATATATAAAACATTTCCTTCCAAATTCTTTTGTGCTGTTAAAATCAGTATGGTTTGGCAGCGTTAAAATTTCGAGTTCAAGTCTTGACAAGGGGACGTTAATTTTCTTTTCTAATTATAAGATAATTAATAATTCAACTTGTATGCTATAATATAAGCCAAAATTATAATTCTGTATTGAATTAGATGAACTGACCGGAGTCTGCTCCCAATCTCATCTATATGTGTGTGGGGTGGATATAAAGAATTAAGACATTTTTCTACCATGCGCTCTTGTGATGTCACTGTCGGCATATGGATTTGGTAATTAAGTGACCTCCTGTGGAAAGGTGTCAGGACACCTGGGTGCCTGGGCCGAAGGCCCTATCCCAGATCGAAATTTTGAGCTGTTCTTAATTGCGAAACATAACAGGTCATATTAAAATCCGAAAAGTGTAAAAGAATTTAGAAGAATTAGAATTTGGTATGTATTTGAAAAATAATAAGTACTTAAAGGTTGAGAGTTGTGCATCAGGGAAAACATTCGAGCTGGTGACTAATAAGTAGTGGTAGGCAAATAATTACAGTAAAAACATGGCAAGGTGCAAAACTTAAGGTGACTTAATTAATTAAGTGGGACTAATTTACAACACTGATGAAATAAATGAACAAGAGAGAGCATTACTACCGAGAATATATAATCATTACACATATAGGGGTATATAACATTTTTATAGATTTTTTTAAATTTAAATTTTAAGAATTGTACACTGTTAATTAGTGTTGTTCATGAAGATTTCCTCAAATAGGTTAAACAGAATAAACATTTTATCAATAGAATTATCTGCAGCCTGAATGGTAATTAAGTCTCCAGCTTGAGATCGAGTAGCAACACAGTCCATTTTTATACGAAAATAAGCTCCACAATGTGTTTACATGTGATTAAAATGGTATATCTAACAATTCAAAAATTACTGTCAATAATCATTAGGGCAAAAAGTCTTGTAGATTCGATTAAAACACATATGCGGTTATCTAAACTGAGTGAAGCCAAAACAGACTCGAATAATGGGTTTTGGTGTCTAAATGGCTATTGTAAGTAAAATAATTTATTTTTAAGGAAAATTGGTTTCATTTTGAAATTAAATATAATTTTTTAATAAAAAAAAAAGCGGAGGAAGATACATGTTTCAAATGTGTATAATTGTTAATTTTTTCACACTTTAAGTTTATAACCAATACATTTGTCATTTCGTCTTTCCTTTTTAATGTTCCCTGTTAACTTGGCTTAATTGAAATGATTATACTTACTTAATGCATATGCATACCATAATTAGAAACAATGAAACTGCGAAATAGATTCTTTTTTGCAGAGCCTAAGTATGAGATAGAAAATTTCAAGGTAATTGTTTTAAATATAGTATGTAGTATATTGTACTGTAAAAACAGAGGGGGGGAAATTTAAATGGTTCGTGTACCGTAATACCAGTAAATTATTTTGATTGTTACGTATGTTAAATATGTAAACTTTTTTCTTCAATTAAGACGCCTGAGATGCTGAAAAACATGAATGTTCAGCGGATCTCCACAGCATTCGTAACAAGAAGTTCAATGCACGGTTGTAACGATAAAAACATTGAAAGTTTTTATTTGTAAAGAAAATTTTAAAAAAACGCTGCTCAGTTCTGTTCGCGTGCTACATTATTTAATTCCTTCTACTAAATTAAAATAATACTATTAGCATGCATGCTACTTTCATTTAGTAGAAGGAATTTATACATTTTTCCTGCTCCGTGAATCTGTTGGATTGTTGTGGAATTAAAATTTGTCAGAAATGAGATATATTTCACTGTTAAAAGATAGTGATAGTATGTTACTTAATAAGTACTGTAAAATAAGCACCTCAAGGCCTTTTTCCATCCCCATTAAGTATCCATTAATTTTCAAATTGTAACTCATGTCGTCATCACGGCAGAGCATTCATTTTGTGTGTGTCATTTGAGACTGTGATTAAAGTTAGTCTTCTTTTGCGCGCTTTTCAGGAAATGAAATGGGCCCACCAGCGGCCGAGAGGTAAAGTCGCTGAACACTGGCAGTTCGGTCCGAGGTTCAAATCCCGCGAACGGGCTGGCTGTATGGGTGTTTTCGCGTCTTTCCTCATGTGTAACGTGTATACGAGTCAGTTTCCCTTAGAAAGTCCTCCACGAAGGCATCCCTTCCCTTAGGCAGATAGCCCTAGTGTGCTGTGCCATAATTAAATACACCACACCACCATGAAATGAAATGCGCTGAACGGCAATGAAGTGATTGAAAAAAGCGAAACTGAAAATGCCGGTTAACAATATTTAACATCAAATTTTGCGCTAATACCCAAGAAAGATCTATAAAACATGAAAAATAAATAAACAGATAAGAATATCAACTTAATCCATAAAATTCACAAAAAATCCAATCTGTATATTTACTGAGCTTCCCATGCATTTATTTATATATTAATTTATTTTTTATTTTATTTTAGGAATTTCCATCTCATCCTCTGAACGAAAAATCGCTTACGAATTGCTTAAAAAACAGAGAGCTTTTAGAAGAAGAATTCAAGGTAAAAATAAAAATATTTCCCTAATAAATTTTTCTCTGTAATATGAAGGTGTTAAAATAATTTTTATATATGAACATTTCAATTTAATTAGCGTGTAACCGCAAGTCGCGTAATATTTCATTTTGTCGTTTCTAGAAAATCCCATTGAATATGCCAAAACTAGACCAAATTCCCGAAGGAGCCCATGTTAAAAATAGATATTCTAATATACTCCCAAGTAAGTACTTCACAACTATTTATTTTGTTTTTGAAAAATTTTCATAGTTAATATTGTTTATGATACTTAAAGCTCAAAGCTTTATGCACGCTTAAAATTCTAATTACTTTGTATATTGTGTTACTAAATAAAATAAATCCCGGTTTACCCTTTCCTATTGTAGGTTTTTCCCTATTGTAGTCCGTTTCTACAGCACTTGAACACCATTTGATACGATGTATTATGAAATCAGTCATCCATAACAATAAATAATTTTCTGTTGATCTCATTAGGCGTAAGCTCTTGCAATCTCATTACTTCGTTATTGGTATAAGGCATGTCATAACCGCAATCTGACTCATGCAAAAACTGTAGCTGCAGATTATTTTAATTAACATTTTTGTAGCCATGTTTATTTTATCTTTCTCTCTACAACATTCAGAAAACATTATATGAAGTTCCTAATGCGCACAAACTTACGTGCGCTTTGCCAAAAACGGACTAAATACGATATTATAACGTATAGTATATTGTTCGAAATGCAGTTACAAGCGTACTTCATAAAAGTACAGTTTGTGTATATTAAAAAAACAGTAGTGGTCTGATAGATGCCACAGAATAAATTTTATTTGCACTGATTATACTATGCGAATGGCGCTCGTAAATTAAATGTTTTTTAAACTTGGTTTTGGGATTAGCTCTTGCTAATCGCATATTTGCAATTTTAGTTCTCATTTCATTTATCTTGTTTGTGTTTACTGTTGGAACTGTAGTACTTACTGGTTACTGTAGAAACTTATTGTGTATTTAGAGATTTTTTGGAAACAATTTAAGCTTTTCTTTATTTATTTATATAATTTTAGAACCTGAGAGTAGAGTTGTGTTAGCAGAGCCATCTGGCGACCCACTGAAATGCTACATCAACGCAAATTATATCAAAGTAAGAAATGCATATATTATTAAACATATGAAATTTTAAATATTTTATATTGTGCATAATAAAAATTTTGTCTTTTGTCAAAAAATTTTTTTAACCTTTTCAGTAACTGTTTGATAAAACATTATCTTACGTTGAAAAGTGTACAGTAACATAGAAAATATTTTTAGGAAAGTACTATTAAAAGAAAACTTGCATACCATATATTTAATTCTCTTCAAATATAAAAATAATTTTAAAATAATGCAGCATATTTTTAAAAACTTTCTCGGAGCGATTGGTAAGAATTTAACGTTCCAACAAACAGGCAAGCTTGTCTAAACTCAGTGGCGCAAACAGCCCTAATGGACCAAGACCCGAAATCTGTTTTCTTTGACCGTGGGCCCCGGGATGCCTAAGCATATGCCCTGAAAAGTGGTCAGCTTGTCGCAGGACCCCCAGTGCTTAGTCCCCAAGCGAACTTGGTACTCATTTTATCGACCGAAGGGATAGAAATCAAGGCAGGGTTCGTAGCCGTCCTTATAAGTGCTTATAAGTCCTTATATTTGAAAATAAAATATAAAGGCCCATAGTGCGTACTTTTTCTTTAAAAATTTTTTTTTTTTTTTTTTTTTTTTTTTTTTTTTTTTTTTTTTTTGTTTTTTTTGTTTTTAGTTTATTTTTTGAGGGGGGGGTTTTAGTGCTTTTTTTTTTTTTTTTTCTTTGAACCGCTATTTTCCCGTACCAAAGCCGAAACTAAATAAACAACATTTCTTCCTAATATGAATGTCAGATGGTAATCATACTCCCGGAAAGCTTTTCCCTTTCTCTGCATTAACATAACCTTTGGTGTGCACGAAGAGTACAGACAGCGCCCGTCGTTCTATTGGTCAAAGAATTGCGAAGCAGTAGAAAATTCCGGTACATTCGGTATTCTTTTCCTCCCACCCAGATACTACACACGTTGAATTTCTATCACAGATCTTAATAATTTGCATTCTCTTTCCGCTTGATCATTTCATATTCTGTTATTATGATCGTTATGCTTATATTATGAGCATATGTAGAATGTTTATAATAACAGTGCAGTACTGCTGAATATAGTAACTAGTAAAACTTCCAAAAATGGTTGTTTTAATACAGATTAGCTTTCTAAGGAATAATATTCGGAATGGTTTAAATAAAGGGAAAGTAATCGAATAGTCAAAATAATTTTGTTTTTTTGGCCAATACGTTCTGCGGTCTACCAATCCAAGCGAAGAATGATTCTATTCCGGAAATTTAACGCCGGCTGTTGAAAATTAGAATGAAAAACATCCCAGTTATTTAGTTCTTTATTCTCCCAATACCGGCAGCTGTTGCTTCCGATTGCGTAATATCACGTAGGGAAGAATTACGGCGCACGTATTGCTCAATAACGTTTGCGATATTTTGCAGAGATAATTAATTTTGATGTTCTGTCCGAGATTTGTTTATGAACACTTAAAAGAGTGCTTGCTAAGCAGAATATTTTTCAGTTCCATTGGTTTATTTTTATATGATGCGCATATCGAAATGTCAAAAGCATTTATTTAGCGGAGAAATTTAAAGAGCGGCTACAGTCTACACCCCCTCCGCTCCTCTTTTTCAAGTTACGCTCGACTGTCCGAATATTCGCCAGTTTTCCAAGTATGCGGGTTAGTTAAGCTTTTACTGTTAAAGGATGACTGCATGAAGCAATTTTCTGTCTTCTGATTTCAGAAATGTTCCTCTTTTTTACATAAATTACTTTGCTTGCAATATCTGTTAAGGGAAAACTGATATACAATGAAAATTTAGAAAATGTTCAGAATTTAAGATTTAAATTATTAAATATTAATATGAGTGGAAAAATAAATTGTATTTATTATTAGGTTCCAAGCGAATACAATAAATATGCCTTATTATTATTTATTTTCTCTATTTTGAAACTGAAATTTCATCATTAAATCTTGTAATACAGTTTAGTTCTGCATAGTTTTTTTTTTTTTTCCCTCTCATTGTAAAACTAGTTCTGTAAATTGAAACTGTTATTTAAAATTAAAAAAAAAAAAAAAAAAAAAATTCTAAATTATTTTCCATGGTTGAGGTAATGCTTATTCTCTCTTAATAAATACTGCATTTCTCATATTTTAAATTACAAATCTAATTTTTAAGGTTATGCAGTTGTGTATAATGTAATTAGACAGGTGCTTATTTTTTTTCTTAAAATGTGCTTTAAAAGTGCTTATAGGTGCTTATTTTTTTAACTAAAATGTGGCTATGAACCCTGCAAGGGATGAAAGTCTGGGTCGACCTTGCAGGCAAGCTTGTCAGTAGTGTAAATAATAGAAATGAGATGAATCCTAAATTTTTTTGATTTTTCGAATCTCTCAAATTTTTATAAATAATAAAAGAAAGTGGAATTTTTTTAATGAAATTTAGGGAATGGAACACATAGTCAAAGCTTCTGATCATTGAGGGCTTATTTTCTAAACACAAATTGATGAGAAGTATTTGAGTAACAGTTCAAATTTTAATTTCCGTTTCAAAATTGGACAGGCGTGGCTAAGTAGTACAGTTTGGTAATAGCTTGAAACATGTGAACCATGTGCAACCTTTACATACTCTGACAAGAATTATTATACCTTGGGTTCTCAACTAGGGTGTAATTTCATAGTTTCAGGGGCAGGGAATGTGGTCAGCCTTTTATTTAACGTTAGTTTATGAATATAAAAAAAGTATATATATCCAAGTTTGGTATTTACCAACATTTTCTATACCTTTTTTCTATTTTATTTACAAATCATATTAGAATATAATCTAAATTTAAATAAATGTATATATGTATTTTCCAAGTTTTGAAAAGGACGGGAGGGGGAATGATCTAGCTATCGTGAAAGAGATTCATGGAGCAAAAAAGTTGACAAACACTACACTATACTCTGTAACTTAAGATAGGGCTTTCAAGGTCGTATCGGCCGTCTCCTCATTTACGATCAAAACTTGTATCATGATCTCTGCATAGAGGGGATTAATTGATTTGACTAAATTAGGGAATTCGAGATCTGCCATGGCAGTTATTATCATGGTTACAAGACTAGCCAGAAGGGGTAATGACTTTGAAATGTGTGTTCTAAAGTAGCAGACTACAAAACTTCCAGCCAATTATCTATACCCAAAATTATCGCGACAGTTCGAAAACTAGTTTTGAAAATTTCAGGAAAAAGCGCAATTGAGCGATAATTTCTTTGTATAAGCAGAGAAATTTTAGGAAACCTTCTGCTATTGAAATTTAAATTTCGGTTTAAATACGAATTCAAAATCATTTACAAATAATTCATTTACAAAAGTGAATAATTCAAAAAATATTAGTAATTGAAATTAAGTGGGGAAATGTTATTTTTCTCAACACAGAAGAGAAACATGCCAAAGTGAAACATAAAATTAGCAAAGCAACAACCGTGCGTTTGGCGTAGATTTAGTCAAGAACTCGATCGATTTCGAGGGCACACAGGGTCTTCATCAGGGTGGACCTATTATCTGTATCAAATTTCTCAATATCAGTATCCGATTCGGAATTTTCTAAAAATTATCTGAAGTGTTTCTGCTACAGTTAAGTTCGAAAGAATGGCACCGTCCTCCATTTCCTATTAATATCGTTGTCATGTTCTTTGTAGATACTAACATCTTCAGTTCCATTCAGAGCATTACTGATACAAACATTTTTTGAATGACTGTTTTAGCGTATTTTCGAAAAATAGATATTCTGATATACTCCCAAGTATTTCAGAACTATTCATATAGCTTTTGAAAATTTTCATGTTTAATATTGTTTATGATACCTAATTTTATTTGAATTTATTATTGAGTTTTAGTAAAAATATACACGCGTTAGGTTATAATTATGTTATCTATATTACTAAAATATAGATTACTATATGTATAGTATTACTAAAATTTTTACGAATACCCTGAATCTAGATGCAAATTAGTATGCAATCAATAAATGCTTTATCATACGGAATGAATGAAAAGAAAATTCTGTCGGGGCTAAAATATACGTGCTAACACGTTTTAGCAAATTATTCAAATACATAAATCATTTTTAAGAATGTACTGGAAAGTTATGCTGTATACAGATGACACTCAAAATTTTACATTTAGCTTTACATGGATTTCATCAACTTGTGCTAACTTTTTAAAGAAAAATGTGGCTCTTGGCTTAGGCACGGATCGGCTTAAGAATTCGAGAGTATATATAAAATTTCTGGCAGTTTTTGCTAGATGGCAGGCTGAAAGAGTGTGATACTCAAAGACGCCACGAGGTGATATAGATGATGAGGACATCTCTTAAATACCAGCAATTCCAATTCTTTTTTTAATGAATGCATTTGTTAGACGTCAATAAAACTAATTTTTATGAAGTTTTGAATGAAAACATTTAAATGCAGAATTAAGATTCAAAAGACAAAAAAAAGAAAAAAAAGAAAAAAAAAAAAAAGACACTTTTCAGATCACTGTCAAAATTTGTGGAGTTCGAAAATGCGGTCCATAATAAATACCAATATCATCAGGATATGGTGAAATAATGTCCTCTCAGAGTATCAGATTTCATACGAAATAATTTTCTCTTTAGATGCAGGGTAAATTCTGACAAATTCTCTCCAATATTATGAGAAAAATGATGATCAATTAAAATAGTGGCAGTAGAATATAAATTCCATATCCCATTCCCGAAAATGGCTTTCGATTCACTGTAATAAATAGTTACCCTATATTCCGACGTATAACGCGAACTTTTATTAAAAAAAAAAAAAAAAAAAAAAAAAAAAAAAAATTAAATCGAAATTTACGGATGCCCGTTACACGTAAAAAAAATGATAGCTTTAAAAATAAGGAAAAGAAAAACATACGAAAATTTGATGACTGCGTGTACTTAAATGGTGATTTTCTAGTACCCCATTTAGGTATATGTAGATGGTTCGGAACATAATAACTAAATAGTTCGCAACCATATGACTAAATGGTTCGTAATCTAAATGTTTCGCAACAGTTTTTATTAGGATAGTCCATTTCTTTACTGCTTTCCGAAAAGTACATTCATTCTTTGGCATATTAATTATTGTGATATCATTTTTCTCCCACATTGCGCATGGAGCTTTTCCCAATGCCAAACCTGTAGCACGATTTCCATTTCCTTTCGCATATTGAAAATGACTTTGCATTTAAAACCAGCCCTGTGTTTGTGTCGTTTGGCAGGAGCTATATTTGTTCCTAAAAAGGAACATTATATCAACCGTATTTCGCTAAAGCAGATGAGATTTACTAAAACCTTCGATGTTCACTTTAAAATCACGGTTTCAAATGACTGCAGAAAGAGAAAACATCTGACTCCAAATTCCGAGAATTCGTTCGAATCCAGAGTACATTCGTATCCCATATTATTTCCTCGTTTTGTGGAAACCCTAGAATAACATTCTTGTGTACACCTGCAATACAACTCACCGTCTTTGCAGAATTATTCACTTCCTCAAACATTTCCCCACATGCGTATCGTTCCCCTTATCGCTTGTCAGTTCAGCATACCATTGTTATAAGGCCTGCGAAAACTTTTGAATAAACAACTTCGAAAGATAACAGCATCGCACAGGTATCTTTCAGGTTTCTTTGCAATGAAAAGGAAGCGCGTTATACGAGGATATTAAAAAATCTAGTTTGAAATTACAAGTGCGCGTTATACACCCGAATATAGGGTAATTAAACAATCAATATACTATCTTCATTTCAGCTTTTGCAATCATGTTTCAGGGAGAGGGAGTAGAACAAATCGATAACAATCTGTTACCTTTGAACATGAAGGCGGCAAAAATTTCTGGATGCGATAAATTTAACAGACCTTGCTTAGTTTTTAAACGAGACAGAGATGTCAGAGTTCTGAATAAGTGTTCGTAAAAAAGTGATTGTAGGAGACATATAAGAAGACTGACCTTAAAATTTAAAAGTGAAGATAAAGATGCAATAAATGAAACAAAAATAAATTTTTAGTGAATGCAATAAATATGCAATAAATGAAACGGTATAAGGAAGTAAAACAAATATCTCTTAATTTTGTCATAAGAATTATAAAGTTGGTAATTTAAACTTGAAGGAATATTTTCTCTTATGCCGTCATGATTCTCCTGCAATACCGGTTTATGAGAGGGAAAGTCTGGCAATGAATTAAATATCAGAGTTCAAAAAGTTCATCTGCCACCTGGTCAAACCACAATTTGTTTTGTTGAGCTAAACTTGAAGAAGAAAAATTGAATATTACGCAATTTTAAGAAATATCTTGATTGTTTAGTGCTATACTAAGCACACACATACACAAACAAACAAACAAAAAAAAAAAAAAAAAAAGAAAGAAAGAAAGAAAGAAAGAAGTAAATAAAATAAATCTGCATGTCACCCAAAGGGCTCTTTTAAAATTTAGTTTGGTTTATTAGTAGAAATTATCAATAAAGATTGCTCAGGCATGGAGGAATCGTGAAGCATTGTATAGACGAATATACATTTAGAGTAACATGGAAATGCTGGTATATCTTCTGTATAGTTAAAAGGTGAAAAAAACTAATGTTTTTAATAATTAGATACATCACAAGTTAAATGAATTTATGTTTAAATCAATCAGTTTGAAAAGTTAAAAATAAGGTTTTTAAGAACAGCATCTGTTGCTTTTAGATAACTTAGAGTGTTAATCAATAACACCAATTAAATTTGAAAGAAGAATATCATATATTTTCCCGAATTGGCAACAGAGGGAAAAGTGACTCCACACAAAATCATGTTAAAAAATGAATGTTCTAAGACTAACAGCCCTTTTGGCTAAAAATATATTTTAAAAGTTACAAAAAAAATGTAAAACGTAATTCTTTAAAATGTTTAATGTTTTTTTGTTAGATATGTCATGAATAAATGCATTTTTATTTGACTGGATCTAATTCAAAAGTAAGAAAATACTATTCTTAAGAACTGCATCTGTTGTTTTTAAATAGCTTAGTTTGTTCATCAGTAGCAGACAGATTAAAATTGAAATATGTTACTAAGGCCATTAGGCAAAATATGTTAATTTTGCCTAATGGCAGCAGACTTGAACGAAAAGTGAATGGGTCTGCTGAAGTGATGGTCACCACGGGCAGGAAATACGATGGAACATTAGTAGGAAGTGTGATCGTTGAACGGTTGACTGTCATGCTCAAAACATTTCTTCAGGATATCGTAGGTATCTAGGTTCTTCGGGACCTCGTGAGTTGCGGTTTCAACAGGATGGAGTAATCACCCACGCAGCTAATATAAATCACCCCAGTCATTCTTCGGAAACTAATTCCATATCTACAATTATTGCTTTATGGGTGCATACAGTCATTTGATTTACCCGCACATTGTTTCCTCTAGGGTTATCTCAAAACGCATGAAAAAGCTTCCTCATACCGTTAATTGAGTTAAAAAGACAAAATTTCTATTATAGATATTAAATTCTTCAGGCGAACCTTCAGCGTGCAATGATGTCCACCTCGACTGCAGTAACATAGTCAACAGCACTGCCGTCATTTGCCCTGTGTGATGGTTGTGCCTGTGTGGTACAAGAATAAAATGCGTCCTGGTAATTGGAAGCACGTCTGGCTAGCAATCGCGAGGTCCGGAGTTCAAATTCCGTACTGCTGCTTTTTCCCGTCTCCAACTCCTAAATAAATCCTAATTAACTCTTAAAGAGGCGGTAGCACTAAAATAGGGTGAACGATAATTCGTCATTACCTAAATTGTAGATTTGGTAATCGAGTCCCCTCCTCTCCAGTCGCTTTAAAGTAGGAGAAAATGCAAGGAATTTACTCCTCCTTTACCACGCTAGTTCGGCTAGCAATACTACTTCGTGGGGTAAATTAGAAGCATGCCCGTCTGGCAATCGAGAGGTCCGGATTTCGAATCCCCGGGAAAACATTGCAGATTTTTCATATTTCCTGGCCGAAAATAAACCTTGTGGCTGTATGAGGAAAGTAAACTGGCTTATGTTTCTCTTCAGTGTACTTTAAACGTCATGGTCAGCTTTAACTCACGTACTACATTTATTTACCAAAAGCTTTGAGTTTCTAAACACTTTAAGTTTCTGTAAATTCTGTTTTATTTCTAAATAAATTGCTTCATTTCCAGGTTAATAATACCTGTCTTACGTATATATGTTACGCCTGTGCAGTTTGGGCTTGTAAAATTACAAAGCCGAGTATTTCCAAATATGACAGATAAAATGATCTTTTAAAAGAAATTTAAAGGACTTATAATAGTGGAATACGCTATTAAATATAGCGGGAAAAAATTAACTTTCGAAGATAAGGTATATTAAAACTTTAATTTCAGTCATACTGCCAATACACGCAAAACAAAAAATCATTATGTTCTTAGTCTGTTTCGCAGAGAAAAGCTGAGTACTTATTGCGCATGACTCAATTCTAAGGGTTTCCAGTTTAAATATACTCTTAAAATCGTCAGAGCAGTTATTTTTAATTCGTTATCTGATTTTTCCTTTTCAGGGTTATGGAGGGAAAGCCGCTACTTATATTGCATGTCAGGCTCCGCTTCCTGAAGGCATTGAAGATTTCTGGAGAATGGTTTGGGAACAACAAAGCAGAGTAATCATTATGCTTACCATGTTTGAAGAAAATGGAACGGTAAGTTAATGTATCATCATACTCGTAGCGTAGAGTAATGATCAGTAAATATTAACTGGGATTATGCAAGGTGACTGTCGCTGCAATGGCCATTTATGGTGACCATTGAACTGCAATTAAATCATGAAGAGTGTATTAAATGCATTTTCGCCATACCGATCATCCTTATTTTGTAGACTGAGAGTGGCCGTTATAACAATCATCAGCTGTTCTGTAAGCTGTCTTTTATTCTGTCTTTTTGCAAATGAGAATCTGTTGCTTACGTAAACCACGCTTCCTAGTATACGATGCACGTATATTGACGCTTCCTATTATACGATGCACGTATATTGACGCTTCCTAGTATACGATACACGTATATTGACGCTCCCTAAATGGTGCAATACAGGCATGTCAAATTCACTCTTCATGTGGGCCAAATAGTCATCACTTTTATAATTAGTGCACGCTGCAAGGGAAAAGAAAGCCTTTTTCACACTTATGCTGTATTTAAAAAGTGAAAAATGCACAAAATCATATCGAATACCGAAGGAACATAAGGATATCCTGGTGTAACAGATGGATACCTATTGTTTCGTTCTTGACACCTGATATCTTTTTTTTCCTGTAACTAATTTTCAGATGTCTGGGGATAGGCTTGCTCACTCTAGCGATTTTTAATTAGCAATTTTAGCGAAGTCAAATGAATGCCTACTGAATACGGTCTCGCTAGGAATTTGTTCCTCTCCATAAGTGAGAAAAGCTCTTCACACTGATACGTGCTACCGAATTTAAAATTACATACAATTTTTTTTTTTTTTGTTTTCTAGAAACCACGCTGACAGGTATATGTAAAATTAGGAGGTACTCATTGAATTTCGAATTTGAGTTAAATCGCACTGAATTTCTGTTAATACTCTATGTAAATAGACTGGCACTTCCTCGCCGTCGGTTCAGAAAATATTTTTGTAAAGAGATCACCTCAAGGGGCCGTTTAAGAACCAGAGCTTGTATGCCTTGATATGGGATGGAATTCCAATTTTTTATTAATATATTATATACTTTTTGTTATTTTCTCGGGATGAACTGTCGACAGCAGAAAAATGAGTTAAGGACCAAATGTTTGACTTGCCTGGTCTATTAGGAAATGAAATCAGCCGATCTTTTTCCAATAATTTTAGTTTGTTGCTCACATGCATATTGTACCATAGCATCTCCAACAGTTAAAGAGGCGTCGATGGGTGCGATAGTGAATTTGCAAAGTAAAAGTTCTAGAGATGTTGACTGTTCACGCTTCCGACTACGAAATAGTATGCAGAATGGTATATGGTTATGCAGTAGTATTTTCAGAAAAGTTAAATGTCTTGTATAATATGAGCTTATCCCCGGCATTAAAAATAACAGCCGGCTGTGCTTAGTATTCCTTCTGTTGGTTCATTAGAGATATAGATAACCTTTACTTATGTCTATCTATCTTACATGGACACTCCACACTTTGTCGTCGACTGGTGCTCTTTATTCTCCATTTGACAACTTTTCAATGTAATAATCGCAATTGATTGTTAGTACTCCATAAGTTGTATTCCATTGGAGTTTGGGAATGAATGATATGCTCCTGTGGTTTTAGCCACAGTGATTTACCTTTTGTGAAACTTGTCTAAATTCGCTACTCTTTGTTTCTGAAAAACAACAATTAGCTGAGCTGAATAGCTTGCATAAGTTGAATTTATTAATGCTAGTTCAATAAACTAACATGTACCGTCACGCGTCCTCCATTTGCTACAATTGCTTTTACTACCTACAGTTGCTCACTTCAAAAAAAGTAGAGAGCATTCCAGTGAAATGTTTTGTAAGCTGGAATGGTGTAAACGGAAGATGCAGTTACCATTAATTTAAATGAAAAAATTATTGAACCTTCTAAGGTCTGATTTAAAGAAAAGTATCAAATCCATCAAGCAACATACATAACTTAAAATACCACAATAAACAAGAGCAATGAGTGAGGTGCATAACACATGTAGATTGAAGTAGTATATAAAGTGTAGTTTCAACTTCTCACTGTCTGAAAATGGATCAACCAGAATGTTTATAGCTAGTGGCTTAAGCTGTCTCTTTCGGCTGTTCTTTTCTGAGTTTCGGCAAAGGGAGTAATGGGACTGAATAGGATATAGACTGCAGTTTACGAAAAGAAAAGGCGAAGATCATTCTTATAGTTATTTCTAACAAACAAATTACTATATCTATACTTCCTATGTCTGCTCTCGTCTTGTCAAAAATAATTTTATGATTAGAGCGATAAGCTCGCTCTGACTGATGCAGAAATTTTGAAAAACGACAGTGTGTTTGACGTTTAATTTGACTCCTTTTTTTCTGTTCCGTAGCCGAACTAAACATGCTTCAAAACAGTCTTAGACCTGCACGCTTTTGCGTAATTAATCTGAAACCTTACTATTATCATTATGTAAAAAAAGCCGTGTTGGCATTTCGTTTTCAAAAGATTAAAAATAAAATAAACAAGTTTGAATTTAAATGACCCAGAAACCAGAAGCGAAAAATAAACTGTATTTACTTATATAACATAAAACAAAATCAAACCAAGCAATTTTCTTAATAAAAAAATTCTTGAAATTAAACTGATTCTTGAAATTAAACTAAAATATTGATATTAGATTTCAAACTAAGCTATATATAAGCTTAAATATTAAAAAACAAATAACCAGTATGAAATACATTGCAAGAAATCTGTTTTGCATTATTTTATTTCTTTTATTAGCAGTCATTCACTGTGTAAATTCGTTACATAAAAATATGTCTTCAGTGGGAGGAAAAACTCATCAATAATTGTGTTTTATTTATTTATTTCAGTCACGATGTGCTGTTTATTTTCCTCAAAGTACGTTGGTATCTCATCCACCATATGGAGATTTTCAAGTATCTCTGCTGAAAAAAGATGTCTACGAATTCTACACTATGTCTACTTTTCGTCTTTTGGACTTGGAGGTGAGGTATGCTTTCTAATAATAAGACGGATATATACATACTTTGCAGCGATTCAACTTTGCGTTACATAGTTATCTATTACTCAAAGAATATTGCTGCTCTTTTCTGTACATTTAACGAAAATCAATATTCAATTTATTCTGCGTCTAAAAGAATCTATATGTATGTATTATGTTTGGAAATAAAACTATTTTGTTAAAAGTATGAATGTCAATGGCACATTGTAATTTGTTTTGGAAAAGGCTACACAGTTGTTTTTCTTACTTATTTTGTTGTCATAGTAACATTTCTTTGTCTTCATATGAATCCAGACTAAATTGATTTCTTTGCGCTCTATCTAACTGAACTTTATGTGAATACGTATTAATAATACATCAATATGTCTGAATGCACGCTAGGATATTGCCTGTAATTGTTGGGGGGGAAAGTGCATCTCCTTAATTAATAGCATATTTTAAACTAATTTATACAATATTTCTTTCTCAATGTGATTAAACTCATGTATACTATTTCTGTAAAATATCTTGCCTCTGAGCCGAAACATCTGACTACCTTTAATTTTATCTGTGCGTCGTGTTAAGAACAGTCTCGTTCCCATGTTGCATGTGTTCAAAGTTGTCGAATGTAGATCTCATCCATCATTATATGACCTTGAGGAAAAAACTTATAGAGCAGGATGTCAGCAATTTTTGTCAGTGTAAGCTTCTTGCAATCAAAGTTGAGGCTGTGCTGGTTGGGGAATGAGATGTGTCGGCAATAGTTAATGATGTGCCCCCTTGCTGACGATGTATTGGATGTATTTCTCATACCACTTCAATTAAAAATCCAGAAACAATTCTTTTTTTAAGGGCTGGAAGATGCATGATGAGCAGATGGAGATTTTCTGAAATTTCTTATTTTTTGTCATTCGTGTGATACCAATTTACGCAACTTCTTTTTTGACGTAAATGCAAGTAGATAATGATTTTGGCAGTTATGTTGAACATTTTCTGAAAGTTTCAGACATGGGAGGGTGCCGATTTTATTGATAATGCTTGTCAAATAAGCGTTATCAAATAGTTCGCCTTTTAGACCATAACGCATCAACGAGCAATTCGTCACCAGAGCGAAAATTTTTAGAGCAGTCTGAGCAGCACGATTTCTTATTTTAGTGAAAAACTAATTTTGCAACATTTAGAATGCATTCATTCTAAATTTTGTACTCGTACCGCAAATACTCTTAAGTAACAGTATTTTTCGCAGATATAATTAAGACTCTGTGCTAAAGAGAACACGGAACTGATCTTTATCATTTTTCAGGCAGTAACTTTTAAATGTAAAATGTCCAATATTAAATGTGGACATTTAATATTGGACATTTTACATGTAAAAGTTGGCCATTTTGCATGTAAATAAATGTCCAATAATCCACTACATATGTTATGTATGCATGTGGATGGACCATCATATCAACTTACAAAGAAACATCACTGAAATAAGACTGAATTTTTTTGGTTACTTGATCAAGGCTTGCTCATTTGCTAAGCATTTTTACATACATCTCTATCCTACAATCATCCGACATCTTTATCCTACTATCCTACATCTCTATCCTATCGAATGCTTCCCCCCCCAATCAGTGCTCGCAAAAAATGCTTGATTTCACATGCAAGTTACTGTTCGGATATTCATGTTTTGAAAACTGATTTGAGAGCGGTAAATTTTGAAATTTGAAACTATCATAGTTTTGAAAAACCAAAAGTGAATTTATGAAAGGCTGTAGGTAAGTCATTTCTGATATCGCGAGAATTACACTGCTGTTCAGGCACAACCATGCTCAAGCCCTTAATGTTCATGTTCTTCATCAAAACAGCCACATATTAATTAACACCCATCTTCCATCATGCAGTATTTGGAATTTTGATATACAAGTATTATAAACTGATAAAAGTTTTAGAATATAGCAAAACCGTATCTGAGAATGCAAAAAATGGCTGGGCGAATAATCCATGTAAAAACGACACCAATAAAATTACTTGATACTGCAATTTTAAATTTTGATTGTTTCCGGTTAAGGCATCTTATGAAGAAATCAGTTTTGTGTTAGAAATAAAAAATATTGAATATATAATTATTAATATATAATCTATATTATTAATAATTATAACTATCATAAAAATAGGTTAATTGTTATTTTGAAATTCTGACGCCTATTATGAAATTGTAAGGAAATTCTTATGAAGTTTTTATCACTATGGTTTGTCATTTGCATATGAGCAATATACATCATTGTTATTGGCGTAAACTGCTTCTTTTTCCGAGTTATCAAATGCGGTGCTGGCGTGCCGTCATTGGACTAGAGGAATTAGGCCAGTCTGTAGCCACTTTCAGTAATCATATTTCCCAACAAAATTTTATCGAACATTTATAAATTTTAAAACGAAAGTTAATTTTCGCCGACTATGCTCTGTATTTGAATATAAACATCAGCTGTTCATTCATATAGGTTGAAATAGAGTTACTTCGGCCATATTTGTAAGCAGTAGGTTGCTATTATGTGGGAGCAAGTGACAATTAGTTTTCAACTGGCACCACCAAACTCGTAGCATTTTCCCCTTTTGTCAAGTGAGTTGTTCCGATGAACTAAGGTTTATTCGCGGTAGGGACCAGCCATCACCACAGAAATAACCATTGTTTCGGTGGTAGCGGACCAGCTAGCTGTCAACTGTTCTTCTCACAGCATTACTTTGTTGTTAACTAGTGGTGTGCTGTCATAAGGAATTCCAGTTTTCCCATGTTTCACTAGTGACTTCATTTGAGTTTTTACTGCAATAGTTTAATTCGAATTCATGAATGCTCTTGAGTGAGATGTGAAAAGGTTTGGAATGAAATATATTGCCATTTTAATTCTATATTCAAAATATCGAGAGGGACTTAGTCGAAAAAGCTGTTACCTTAGAAGATATCATTACGGATCATGCGCACGCAGTAAATAAGATAAATTTACGTCAAAGTGATGGGTTGTTGGCTTCATAATGTTCTATTTCAATTTATCTGCAGTTTTTATGACGCGATTAATTGGTATATGATGTTTTTTGACAAGACAAGAGCTTTTATTTAGAGGTCACGAAATACAAAGATTCTCCTAACTGGGGAAAATATGTTTAATTCTTGCAAGCAATTTCAAAATGCAATAATAAATTAGAAATTCTTTAAAAAAAAACATTAGTTTATTTTAAGAAACATCAAACAAAATTCTAAATATTATTGATAGTATTTGAGACGAGTCTGAAAATCGGTCTCAGTTTTCTATAGTTTTTCGATTTGTGAAAGACAATGGTGCTCATGAAAGATTTCTTGGCTTTACGTACGTCAGCTACAATCGTCTGAAAACAATCTGAGGGAACGTGTTTTTAAAATGCTTCAAAATTTCAAGTATGAGAAAAAAACATGTAGCTCAAGGATGTGATTGAGCAAGGTTATTTTCTTGTCACTTGAATACTTGAATGGTTTTCAGTCTATTGTGAAAAAGAAGTATCCGAATGCAGTTTTCTTTTTTTGCTAGGCACACACACTTAACCGGACCATAGATTAAAAAACGTTTCTAGCCGAAACAGTTGCGCTCATCGATTTGTTGCGGACAATAGTTTGCGAAGCAGGTTAATATTCAAGATCTTCAGTGAAAGCTACCAAATTCAAACATTGTCTCTGAAGTAAATATTTTTAATATTTAAATATATAGGTAAATATTTATATATGATATATAAATATATAATATTTTTTGGTGGTATAAAAATTTATAACATTTAAAACGTTTTTATTTTTCGTAGAAACCCTTAATTTCAATTCATAAAACTCCATGTTGCCATGGAACACCATTTGCAAAATGTTGCTGCAGATTATCACGTGTTTATCACTTTCTTCGTTCAAAAATTATCTTATTCTTACACCTAATCACCTTTGATGAAAACCATGACACGCGACTGGTTATGCCACAAATGGTAAAAAAAAATCGGTTGTTCAGTGAAACTCACACATTTATTTTGAGCAGTTTTGTTAGTAATAGCTATCGATCGTAACGTAATATATAATACGTGTATACTGTTAATTAACTAGAGCATTAGAACCAATTTATTACGTGTATGAAATTAATTTAGTGGCTCTAGAATTCTTTAATTATCTAAATTAGTGTTTCCGTAATAGTAAATTTTCCATCTAATTTACTTACTGAATGTTTTATTCTAATTTCAGTGTTTCATTTTTCAGAAAAATCTGTTTCGTGATGTCGTTCACCTGTGGTATACAAGCTGGCCTGACGTAGGAGTTCCTAAAGACCCAACAACTCTAATCTCATTTATACAACAATGTCGACCTTTCATCAATTGTAACTCAGGTCCAACTGTTGTACATTGCAGGTGAGTTCTACTATGCTGTCATCGTACAGATGTTTTACTCACGGGTATTTTTATTTCTAAAATATTTACTGTTGTATCTGTGCTGAGTCAGCCTGACTTTTCAGAACACCTCGCTTGTACATAATTTGAGATTCTGTCGAACATTTTTTAGACGATTTTCATTGTAATTACAGAAATATTTTAACTGAAATTTTTAATTTTGAAATGTTCTATTTGATAACCCTTATTCTTCACTATCTTTATACGCCGTAATTTCGAAGACAATAAAGCCTTTTGTAGTACTGGAAGATGTAGTTTTATCTCATTGCTCTCGAACAACGTTCCGAAGTATAGAGAGGTGGTAGATCGACGTTTGAACAACCCACTTTTTAAAAGTCCAGAATCTCAAAAATGCATTAGTGATAGATTAGGAGATTTAGTAGGAATATGAGTGAGGGGTGTAGCCTTTATACCCATTTCTTTTTCCATTTTTTCCAGGAAATTAAGAGTGGGTTTTGATGTGTGGCTGCTTGCTTTGTTTTGATGCTGTTCTACTGATTGATCACACTGTGTGTAAAGAGAAGGTATTTCATATTTGAAAATTGGGTATAAAAATATGTTTTGATAACATATGGAGTTGATTTTAACATTCTTCTCCTATTATTTTTAACTTCTTGTTATATGAAAAAACCAGCAACAATTATAAATTCCATAGAAAAATTTTCTTTAGATTCCTTGATCTATGTTTCAAGATTTTTTCTCCTCCTTGATGATAATAAATGGATCTCTTTTTATTGCAGCCATTTAAGTACACCAAAGATTCGTCTATTATGACATTTTTCTATTTTTGCACGGATAAATAATTCTCATAACGAATTCTGCAGCGCGTTTTGCGTTCGACACTATGTTGTGGAGAATGACGACACACATTGTTTTTTCACCTTTTTAAGATTCACATCGGCATTAAGCACTTTGTTGACAGTTGATACTGAAAATTTTAATGCTTATGCAACTGTCCTTTAACTTCAAAGGTTTTCTTTTCAGCATTCAAGTTCTTAATTTCTTCGAAACATTTCGTTTCTTCCTTGGATACGGATTTGGAACATTTCTTCCATTTTAAGCTAAATTTAGGCGTTTTTTCTTCCTTTGTTGTTAACAACATTACCTTATCGTAACTTTAGATATCAAAAAAACAATGGCTTTCACAACGTTTTTTTAATAACTTAAATGCGAATGAATTTTTTCGGAAAGAACACAAATGTAGCCTTCTAACCACTGCTTCTTTGAAAGCAACATTTTGCCTTAAAACAAAACTGTCAAGTAGCAGACGATAATTTGTTCTTTCAAAAAATATAGTTTGCAGTTAAAAAAAGTCCAAGGAGAATTTTTTAACAGCAAAACAAATTCATAAAAAAAACTGTGCGAACAACCTCTGTATTATATCATGCAAGATATTGTTACGAAATGTACAGGCGCGGTGAGATAGCTTCCCCGCAAAGCAGGTTTAGGGTCGCCATAAAATGGCAAGGGAAGGCAGGGTTGCTACGTTTGGCGAGAAATCGCCCATTTGGCAACAACATCTACGATGTGCCATGGACGGATGGAGAATCTTCTGGAATGAATTCTTACCGGTTTAGCCCAGAATGTTCTTGAAAACAAGCCGAAAGCTATATAAACCCTGCTAGTCCGCAGTCAGTTAGTATCGGGGGTGTGCCTCGTCTGGAGTGCGAGTCATAGTGTCTCGAGTTAGTCAGTCCGTGCGGAGTCGATCAAGTTGACAGCCGGGCAGCGAGTGCCGAGCGTCGAATGCACCGAAGGGGTCTCATAGTGTATCGCGGTTAGCGCATCGTCGAGAGAGCGTGTTGAGCTCCGGGAACAATTGAACCGAAGAGTCGGGAGCTGTGCTCTGTGTGTCGTCGAGTGCATCGCGAGTTGTAGCCTGGAGAGTCTCGAGAGTACGTGGAGTTCCGAGAACGACCAAGCAGAGTCGGGAGCTGTACTTTGGTGCTTTGCAGTGAAGCTGTCTCCTCCGTGATAGCTTGATAACCTGAAAGCTGTGTCGCTGATTGTGTCAGCGTGTTTATAGTAGATCTTCGACGACTGTAAAAGTGTTTTGGAGCTGTCCTGATTAATACCGACCAATAAAGTGTGTTTCGATATTCCATCAAATGCTGTCGTCGTTATTCACTCCAAATCCATACGTTCCCCGTACGAACGTGAAGGAAGAAAATAACGTACGAACAACTGGTGTCAGAAAAGGAAAACGCAACAATATCTTATTATTCATGTATAACAAGAAATTTTATGGAATTAGCTTAGAATTTCCCGCTTTAGTTTTAAAATACATGAATTAATGATACTGTCACTATAAAGGCGTGATGAATCCTTTCTTCCATGTGCTATAGACTAGAAATCTTGTAAAATCACACTTTCAAATGACTCGAAAGTAAAGTAAAGTGGTGTCAAGTCTAGGCTTCATGAAAGCTCCTTGCGACTTCCTCGATAGCCGATCCAATGTCCTAAATGTCCGTAAGTCTGAAAATTAAAACATATAATTATAGATTTATTAACATCCTGCAAATTAAGCAATATTGATTTTTCATTATTTTTGTAACAAGTGATGCGTTTTTTATTTCCAGCACCGGAACAGGCAGAACTGGCGTATTCATTGTTCTGGATATTTGCATGCGAGAATATGATGAATCCCGATCGATTGATATCCTACAATGTGTGTCTCAGTTGCGAAAGGATCGAGGTGGAGCCGTTCAGAATAAAGATCAGTACATACTTATTTATGAGGTAAGTGAAAAAGGAAGTATTAACCCACATGTGGTTCTTTATGGAGGGAGTAGGATAAGCATTATTCCTTTATCAACAAAGATACTAGTCAACAGAAACTTCAAGCAAAATCGGCGACATAAAATGTTTTTGTTTGAAACAGAGCTATAAAAATCTATCATATTAAAACTAGCGACTTTCTGTTTAACTAAAATATTTATATGAATCTGAAGAATGAACTTGAGCTGGAATATCTTGAATTCTCTTAATTTTTAATTAGTGGAAGAGACGATAACATTTTCAGGTCAAGAAACTACCTCATGTTCATAAACCCATAAATTTTAATAAAATGAAAGATGGAAATATATTGCATTGGGTTTCAATATGTCAATTATTAACCTCTGCTCTTGTTTAGCAACGTCCCAGATTTGATGGAGAACTGTCAGATTCGAGAGTCATCTATCGATTGCAGAAAAGAGGTAGTCTACAAGGACTGGGGATTATCGTTCCATCTAATTTCTGCTCACATGGATCGAGATCCAGTCATCTTTATCAGAATGTTTAATCAACGGATCCAGGAGGTCCACATTTTGCAAAAGGTCTTCACTCAAAAATGCTCGGCGTAACAGAAATTCGGTCCTCATCTCTGTTGGGCATCGTACAGCCATATCACCGTAAGTCAGAAAATAATGGTATTCCCCAGGATCAAGTATCCGCAAGTACGATGCGACAGCGTTTGTAATGTCACGAAGTGTCAGCAAAGCGACCATCGCTTTGACTTCTCTTAGAGCTACAGCACAAAAATCAAAGTTTACGACGCATATAGATGCATCGATTACGTGGCATTATTTTAGAACTCTCTTTTACTTACAGCACAAAGATGGTCGTATCCCGCATATGGAGGCACTGAATTCACAGAATTTTGGAAACGCGCATTTTCTATCACCATACCATTCCATCACCTGAACTGGTGGTTTGCAATACCTCTGAGTATACAGCTCATTCACCTCTAGTTGTATAAATGATACTCTGACCAGCCACCATTACTTTACCAATATTACAATTCCAGTGGCATTTGTCAATCTCCATGGCCTCCATTGCTCACCTTTAAGAACTATGCAGAACCTCATGTTAACCACCTATTCTAGGGTTCCTCGACATGGAGGGTGTTCGTCTTAGCCGCCGTGTTCTCCAAATCTCTCACCAAAAGAAAACTCTAAATCTCAAACTAAGAGAGAACATTCGCGAGCCAGGAAAATAGAAGAACTTTGGCATAGAATTGAAGGCATGTGAACTTCAGAATCCAAAATACCATCCAAAATCTCCTCAACTTTATGCCCAGCCATTTAATAGCTGCTGCAGTAACCAGAGGCGGTTGCTCAGCGTCTTTATTTCTGCATGTTCTGTAATTCAAAACTGTGTTATTTCATCGTTCCTTTACCATGCATTTGTGAACTAAACTTTTGCCTTCTTTCTTGGTGCAGCAATATGAATATTCACCATGTGTACTAGTAATCAGTTAATCAAAAATTTAGAGATCTCAATTTAAAATTGACGGGTACTCCATGTTGAATTCTGGAATGTTTCTAGACTGTCGTCATTTCGCCAAAATTTCACCCCCTTTTTTTTCCCCAGTTCAAATAGATCAGCGGATTTTCTAACGCGAAATTTTCGATTCTATTAGGCTTATATTTACATGTGGAAAAGGATTATATAAGATTTTCTATACAACGGCTTGGCCAGATATTTAAGCATATGTATGCGAAATAAAGAATTGCCGTATCTGTAGACAAGATGTTCTTTGTAATCAACCAGGACACATTAACGTTACAATCATTTCAAACAGGGTCTTTGAAGGAATACACACTATAATTTTAAAAAATGAATGATAATTTTAAATCTTGGATATATTTTAGCGAATTAAGATGTATAAAATGTAAACTAATCTCTGCTTTGACGTTTAAATTCAGATGATTACCTGAAGACATGCAACAATTATCTGTCATCTTCTAACAGCTGGAGATGATTGTTCAAGAATAATTCACTGCTGATTTTTTAACAAGGTCTTTATGCACAAGTGGCGACTAGAAATGAAAAATAAGTTTCAGAAGATAATATGTAATGCCAGATAAATAAAGAGTTTAATCTTTTTTAGTTTAAATGTTTACCCAAGTATCCTTTTCAATTATGCCACCCGTTGAAACAAAGCATTAAGCAAAGTAATTTTGAAACTTGGTATTAGAATCCTGGGTTGATGACAGTGTTCACTTTAACAACTGAAAATTATTCAGAAATGTATGATATAAGATTTTTTTATCTTGCTTCAAGTAAATTATAACAGTATTTATCAGTGTCACTATCTTAACGCCTTTCGGTGGTAACAAGATTATTAGGATTAGTCAATTTAAGTTAAGTATACGGAAGTTCTGCGGTGAGGGCTCTGTAGAACTTTTGGATTGTCGTAAAATAAGGAAGACCTCTTCATAGCAGTGACAACACCAGTAGTTAATAAAAGGTCGCGCGAGGACATCGTTACGGTAAAAAAGAAATGCCATTTTTCTAACATGAAAGCATATAAAACAAATATATAAATTAATAATTTTAATATTTTTTCAAGACTCCTTTTACTTATAGGCTCAAATTTCAAAATTAGGAAACTAAAAGTTTCAAAGACAATTCAAAGGACAGAGGTTTGAACAAAAACTTAGATATTAGTTTTTTGGAAGAAAATGATTTATATATACCTTCAGAACTACTTACGGCTCTTAAGGGAAAAAAAGTTGCTCAAATTAATTGAAAAGTCATTTATTTAAAAACAAGATTAGATAAAGGAAGAGGCCAACTGAAAAGCCAGGTTTCTCGGGCTAAAAATCTGACTGCAGTAGAAATTAAAAAGAAAAAAAGAGATCGGCTGTAGAGAATAATGATAAGAAAGAAAAATGTTAGATATGTATTTGGAAATATTATATAAAATAAGAGGTTCTTCAAAATTATTGACCGGTAACGACTCAGAAAATAAATTAGATCTTTAAAAGAAGCTAACTCAAAAAGTATGCAATGGTTTTGAATGCAAAAAAGATCGTATAATGATTTTGCTTGTGCCAAGAAATGGGAAAGTAGATAAGTATTTTATGGTAGACTATGATAACAAATTTATTTCCATATCAATAAGGCATTATTTTACAGCGAGCGTATATCTGTCTGATCGTCAAAGAGATAATATGCATTTTTTTTTTTTTTTTTTTTTAGTATTTATTTAAAAATGGCAAATGACGAGGCACCTAATTTTGATATAGTTTTAACAAAATCTCAAATAATAAAAATTCAGAATGGAGAAAGAATAACTTTGAGCAAAGATCAACTACATCAGAACAAAGAGGGGGGATTTCTTCCCTTTCTGAATCATGCTGCAAAAGCTGCAACTTAGCAGCTATAGGTGTAGCGAGGTAGGTGTTGGTGTTAAGCAACTGCTTGGATCCCGAACCGTCTCCAAAATATACTTAATCTCGAATTTATATCGGCTTTACAAAACATAATAAACAGCACGAAGGATATTTAAAAAAGTTCCTGAAAAAAAAGGAATCAAAATAGAAAATTTCTAACAAAATGACTGAAGGTAATTTTAAAAGTAAGGTTTTTAAAGACGTTTTTAGTTTATAATTACTGCCCAAAAAATGAAAAAATTCGAAAATGGTGTTATCAATTTAGAAGTATCTACAGTAAGTATCCTCTTATTACGTTGAAGAAAATACCAATGTATGTTCTTGAAGAATGTTGAAGAAAATACGAATCACGTTGAATAAATTTTAAATGCACATAACGTCACTGTTTGTCGAAAGTGTTTCGTTAATGTCAGCATTTTAAATAAATAGCTACTATTGGCAACATTTTTGCTTCACGTTAGTACAATTGACAGGCATGACGTCATACGTATTAAACTGAAGTGTCAAAAGTTTTTGTTTCCTGTTTCGGCAAAAAAAAAAAAAAAAAAAAAAAAAATATTTACGAAATGTTTGTTGCTAGGAACGAATGAACGAATGGTTTTCATACATTTGCTTTTCAAGGGTACATAGAACTGATTCAACATGAAATGCCACCTCCTTCAACTCAGGCCATTTTCCCAATGTAAAATTTAATTAAAAACTGGTATTGTTATAATTGAAGTCCCTTTTTCTGATATCTCCAATCGAATTTCTATAACAAGGTTTTTCCTAGTTAAAGATTTCCTAGCCACTTTTAATCTTTTTGAAATAATTAACAGTTTGATCATTTTTAATCTTAACTTAAGCTGAAAATCATATCCCTTCTGGTTTTACGAATTCTATAACATTACTAAGTACTGCAACTCTTTTTCTTTTTATATATATAGGCTATGCTGGAATATATCTCTAGAATGGCTAATCAATCGCATCGCCCCTCAATACGCAGCAACAGCTGAAGGAATGCGTGTTCTTTCAAAAAGATACTGCAATACAAGTTAATGCTCAAGACAGTTCAATATGTAGATATGGCTGGACATTTGTTGTAAAGTGAAATATTTAATCGTTTGTACAAAAATATGAGTTTTATGTACCTATATTTTAACTGTTGAGTGTATTTTAGTATTTATGGTACTGAGAATTTGTCATAAATATATTTATGTAATTATAAATAAAATTATAAATAAAAATAGTCTTTTAAAGAAGAGAATGACTGAATTATATATAGATAGATAGATATAGATATAGATTTAAATGTTGTGAGATTATAAACAAAGAATACGAATGCGAAATTATTAGTAAAATGAAATACTGGAATGTGGTGATGATATATGTGTAAAATTTTGTTATCTTTACGTGGTTAATCTATGTGATTCGTAATAATACGGAATCTAAACGAAAATCTTCATGTGGTCTATCTATATGATTTCTAAGCATTACATGATCTAAATAAGAGGTTAATTTTTTTTCAACAAAATAATAAAATTGCTTTAACATTGGTGGTCGTATATGCTATCTGAAACGTAACTGCACCTCGCCCTAGATTTGTCCCTTTGCGCACAACAATATGCGCTGTGCTTTTGACCTCCAAGTCTCCAGATCTTCCTTCCAGTAACTGATTTTACTACATTACCAGAGTTTTTGCTAGAGCTTAAATTGTGTCATCTCCCGGCTCTGGTACTTCTCAATGTTTGAGATGAATCGTAATTTTAATCAAAGCGCATCGGATCCCTAAATAAAAGGTCTTCAACGCTTCTCTCATGTAACTAAGCCAATATTTCCGCAAATGTTATTTTACGCGTTAGAAAAATATTCTAAGTAATCGAGGAATGCCGGTCTTTCCCTGGGTAGCAAACTCTTTGATGGAGGTTGAGAAAAACGTTCCCATCTATATGTCAAAAGCTTATTTTCCAGGAAGTGGAATGAATTAATGAGATTTTCATCTTAGAAAATACTAGGAGGGATCATTGTGGTCAAGGTACCAGTGACTTCTCAAGGGAAAGAATACCTGGAGACATTTTTAGAACGATGTAACAAATACAGGACTCGAAAACTGTCACTTGCGCAGAACTTTACATTTGTTCTCTGCTTACAAATTAACCCCCTTTGGATTTGGGAGACATTTTTTTTTCTCCTCTCATATTCTGCTTAACAGAATAATATCAAGGAAGATCGTGGTCTGATAGTGTTGGGCCTTGCTGAACTTTGTTTTTATGCCTCTACGTCTTCGTTAAAATTCCTCCCATACTCTCATATTACCTCTAGCGTTTTCTTTATTTTTTGTTAGTGAAGCTTTAACCATTTTTTTTTTATTTCTTCACTGAAAATTAATGATCTATGTTGATATCATCCATTAAAATAGTACATTATATTATGTAGTCAGGGCTTAAATTCAGATGGAGACCGGCTAGACTACTATTTCTTGTTTTTGAGTGGAATTGTAATTCCAGTTGAAGCTCCAAATAAGACGAGGTCTGGTATTTTATTAAACTATTGATCATTTATTTAATAATTTATTAAATTTTAATTACTTATTTTAATATTTATTTTTGGTACTCTTTCCTGACTATCTTCCTTAGGGCTCTGTCGCTTCTAAGTTTAGAAATTAAGCCCTGGTTTCGGGAGTAAATATTCGAATAGTGCATTCTATAATTACTATGCAACTAGAGGATATGTGGCCTGAAAATCACTGCAGCTCTAATGTTTATCCATATACGACAGATTCCCATATCGAAACCTAGAGTACCGACATATTAATTATTTGATTGTCAGATGATGTAAGACAGGTTTTATGGTGCGAGAAATAAAAGTTTTTCATATGAGTGAAATCGGCTTCTGCTTTTTTAAGTATCCTGTGTTTTAACTGCTAGTGAATCAATATGTTTTCAGTTTTTTAAAAGAAATATGAACTTATTTTTTAAATAAATCATTTTATTCTAGCATAACTGAATATGACCTATAGTTATATAAGGATACACTTTTATATTAATAATAGCCGCTTTCGCGGTCAGCCACCTAATATAGTTAGGAAAAATAAATATATAATGATTTTAATCAATCCAGCTGATGTAATTTCACAGATCTAGCTAGTAACTAGTAATAATTGAAATGATTCTTCATTTATTGCTCTAAATTGCTTAGATTGTTAATGTCTAACAGAATAAATTTGATATGAAAATTAAACATTATCTTATTACGCTTTACTGAACGACCATACTCTGCCACGTATAAGATAAAAATATTTTATTTCGAACAGTGGTAACATGTTTCTTTTAAATCACTGAGTTCGTTGATTTATATTTGAAAGACTTATACATTGCGTTTTGCCGAAAGGCAAACCACTTCTTTCACATCGCCGAGTTCTGATTTTGAGTATAAGTATTTCACGTTTTGCAGAGTGACAAAAATCGCGGAGTTTTTCTCAATCAAAAGTTCATTAAATTTGCACAAAATATGAAGTAATTAAAAAACAAATTCAAAATTTTGGCTTCCAGATGCGCGCACATGTTCGGATGGAGAACTACGTGCATTCAAAATTTAGTGTCTCGAAATTCTGTCATTTTTGTACAATGCAAGGAATATACATAGAGATTCATTTTTTGGTAAACGTGGTTTTCAAGGAAGTTAGAACCAATACAAAAATAGAACGGACGTGTACTCTTCTATCATATGCACAAAAAGGTAAAACATATTTGTTATTGTATTTTCAGGAAATAAATAAAGCAAAAATTATCTTTCAAGTACAAACACCACTTCGAAAATAGTTTTTTGGATAAGAAGAATTTTAAAATACAAGTAAAAGTTTGAAACAAAGCATATACTCAGATTATTTTAAAAGAATTGCATCGATAAATAACCCTTAAATCCGTTATACATGTAAGCTTGGTTCCTGTTTAGGAATTGCATTAAGGTTAAAAAGAATTTAGTAATATATCAGTTAAGCGTTTCTCTCTTCGGCGATTTTGATCACTTAGCACCTTTGCAAAGATGTGAGAAACGTAAATTTGTATGCATATCTGCTCACAAAAAATTTCACCTGAAAAGTCATTCCTTATCCTATTAAAGATCTTCTCGAAACCAACCCTATTCTATGACATTCAGGCTAACCAGCTTCCGAGCGGTAAAGTCTCTGAACACTGGTAGTTCGAATTCCGGGGAATGGACCGACTGCATGGTTTGTTTCCGTGATTTTCCAGATGTATAATGTAGATATGAAACCAGTTTTCCTTAAAATGTCCTCCATAAAGGCATCTCTCTCATAGTCATATAGCTCTCGAGTTGCTTTGCCTTATTAAATTAACATAATCTAAAACTCGTAAATAGTGAAGTATACTACTTGAGTTCCATTATTTCTATAAATGGGTATTTCAAACTTATAGTTGTCTATCCGTTTAAATATGAGTGGTATACGTCTGTGCTCATAACAGAGAAAATGCTTATATTGGAGTTTCAGTTGAAATACACCATGTTTAAAAAAGAATATACGTATTACAAAGAGTTATTTTGTCCAAACTATCGATCACTGCGCCTCGGCTCTGCTATTGGCGAAACGAATACATAATCTAGTTTATATTAATAGCCGCTAGATGTCAGTTGTCTTCTGTTTTGCGTGGTAGCCGTCACATGTTTAAAATGGCTACTCCGAAAAAGAAATCATTTTTGTGTTTTGACACCCTGTGATTTCTTCCTGTGGGGTTTCATTAAAGACAACGTTTATGTACCACCACTGCCACAGAACCTGGAAGAGGTGAAGACTGTCATAACATCCGTACTGTCCATCAGTGACGACGGACATGCTTGTCCTAGTATGGGAGGAATTTAAGTATTGCTGTGATATTGTTCGTGTCGCTGATGGAGAACATATTGAACATCTGTAATCTAAACTTGAGAGTTCATACATATGTTTCATATCCGTATGTCATACAGTTTAATAAATATATGCATTCGAAATACGTATATTGTTTTTGAAACACGCTGTATTAAAAAAAAATATTATTATAGAATCATCTTTTAAAAACTAGCGGGCATCAGAATACATGTACCTAATCAGCGCTCCTGGCATTTCTGGAAGCTAAAGCGAGCGCCTCTTTTGACATCTCACAGACTGATCATGTCATCGTTTTGGGAAAGCTTGTATTGGCTTTAAAACATGAGCCATGTTATGTTGATCATTGGGTAAAGCGCAAGGAATCTGGGGAAGAAAGTGTTTGTAGCATGATAAGGATCTATTTTTGGTCAAAGTAAGTTGACATTTTCTTTGTCCAAAATGCGATATCACAACGAATGGTCGAAAGATTGTTTACCTACGTTATAAACGAAGGTAAGTATGAAGTATATTATCCCAATGATGTCAATTTGTATATTTCTTCTGTAGAGAATATCCCAGAGCCCCTTAATATCCAAATTCAAATATGGCAAGTTTCAAGCACGTGATACGATATTTCCGTAAATTTTTGGGACCTAGGCGCATTTTAAAAAATTATTTAAATTTTAATTCGGTAGCTGAGTTTTAGAAGAAATTGTAAAACGATCACCAAAAATGCTGCGATATCACAACGAATGGTCGAAAGATTGTTTACCTACGTTATAAACGAAGGTAAGTATGAAGTATATTATTCCAATGATGTCAATTTGTATATTTCTTCTGTAGAGAATATCCCAGAGCCCCTTAATATCCAAATTCAAATATGGCAAGTTTCAAGCACGTGATACGATATTTCCGTAAATTTTTGGGACCTAGGCGCATTTTAAAAAATTATTTAAATTTTAATTCGGTAGCTGAGTTTTAGAAGAAATTGTAAAACGATCACCAAAAATACTGAGTAGTAGTTATCTGGGGTAGTTTTCATAGTTATGAAGGTGGACTACTTTTTAAGGGCTAGAAGAATATAACTAGTTTAGTTATTAAGAAAATTTTCATTGTAGTCAGATTTCTGACATGTTATGTTTATAAAAACTTAACTTCATTTTCTTAAAAAATATCAGTTGATCAAAATTGTAATAATCTAAAGGAGTGTAACAGCTTTAAATAATATTAAAATCTTATAGTTTAAATAATTTAAATAGATGAACATTAAGGTATTTGTGAATGGCAATATTTGAAACCAGACTCGAGTGCCACGTGCGACTCTCGCACGAAGAAGAATGTAATTTATTTTTAAATGTTAGAATATTTTTTCTCTTCTTGTTTGTTATGTCGCCATTT